ATCGGATTTAAACATGACAGCAAAGATAAATATTCTTTCAATTCTTCATCCTTAGCATTCTCCTAACTTCAATTCTCCAAGAAGAAGAATGTGAGTCCCAAGTATCATGGACTGGTATAGAAGGAGAAGAAGAGATCCGAAATAAGGATGGAAACCTATCCTTTAAGATAGAATCCCCCAGCCATAAATGGTGCCAAAATAGAACTTGTTTGCCATTCTTAATCCTGAAAAAGGTGAAGTTACCAACGACCACTGTTTTTTAATGCAAAACCATGGACTACGACGACTACCAATTTTTTTCCCAGAAAGATTCCAGTTAAAATGGTCAATACCATAAATGCTTGCCACAACTTGCCTCCAAAGAGCTGAAGTTTCTATACTAAACCGCCAGCCCCATTTGGCTAGCAAAGCATGATTTCTATGCAACAATCTCCCAAGACCCAAACCACCTTCTTCCTTGCAACGAGAGACAATATCCCACCTAACCAAGTGTTTCAATGTACTCTTCTGACTATCTCCCCAACAAAATGATCTCAAACTTTGCTCAATTTGTTTGCTAATAAGAACTGGCATTTGAAATATTGATAAAAAGTACAATGGAATGCTGCCGAGAACCGAGAGGCAAAGAGTCAACCTCCCTCCACGAGAAAGCTGGTACTTTTTCCATCTATCGAGCTTCTTCATGATTTTTTCTTTAATGGGATTCCAAAAATCAATATTTTTAGGATTTCCACCCAAAGGTAGACCTAAGTAAATAATAGGCCGTGTTTCAAACTTACAATCAAACTTCTTTGCAACCCTAACCACCCTTTGAAGGTCAATATTAATTCCGCAACAGTGAAGATTTTTCCCAGCCCACCAAAAAAGAAGCCAAAAAAGATGAAAAAGGAAAAGGGAATGTGAGAAATACCATTCAACAGTTAACAAGTTTCATTCATGAATTTCATGTTCTGTTGTGCCATTTGTGATGAAATTCCTCGAACAATCTGATGAGACCCGAACGAATATGCTTCCAAAATTTCAGGAAAAAATCAACTGTGAAGCTGTCTGAACCAGGGGCTTTATTTCTTCCAAGACCGCCATGATTTCAGACTCTTTGAACTTACCATCTTTGCTTGAAATAGGCCGCCAATTTAGACCTGCAGGGCAAACAAAAGGAATAATCGAGTTACTGTATAAAGTTTTGAAGAAATCCACGATCTCAGCTTCTATCTCTGGCTGGTTTAAGTGGATGTTATTTTGTACATCAAATAACTCCATTACGAATGCTCTTCTCTTCTTGACGACGAGCACTCTGTGGAAGAAACCAGTATTTTCGTCTCCTTCTCGTAGCCATTGTACCTTACGCTTTTGGATTAGATTTCTTTCTTCCAAAATATAAATACCAAGAAGATCTCTCTTAAGATCACGCCTTCTTTCAGAATCTAAAGAAGACAAACCAGCACTCACTTCCTTTCGGTCCAGGGCAGTGATGGCTTCTAAAATGGATCTTTCTTGCACTTTATATCTTTTTCTTTTGCTACACTCCAAGCCTTTTCCATGTTTAAATGTCTATTGCATCGTCAATAATAAGAATTTAACTCTAGTGGTGAATTGAGTTTGGATATTGTACAGATTTTGAAAATAGTAACTTCAGATTTTTCTTTTGTGAGGAGCATCTAACTGATTCTACTATGGTTATCTCGCACTTGCACCAGTTAGACATACCCCTTTTTTTCTGGTGGATGCCCCTGATACAGAATATACGAGGATATAGTTTGAGATACTCAAAATTTGAGCTACCTTATCGACAGTACTACAATATTACTTCCTCATCATTTTTAGTTCTAGAGATAGAGAGATTAGTTTTCTCATCACTTGGGTTATTCCGGAAAGGATTTCTAATTTAAATTTATTTTGCCTATACTTAGTATGGTAGACAATTTTTTTACGTTGATGAATTTTTTAATATATAATTTTTTCAAGTTTGCTGCGACTGACCCTTGACTCTGGAATTATACCATTAGAGTATAGAGTCTGGCTAATTTTTTTGCAAGTAATATGATATAGTTTATTTTTTGGGCTTTTCATGTTATGGTAAATGCAGCAACTCAGAACGCGCAATCATTAAAGAATTGGCTTCACTCAAGGCATCTAGTAAGAATGATGAGGTTTCTATTAATGGTACTGGACCAATGGTTATCATTTTCATTTTTTCAATTAGTTAAATGCCTTTCTAATCCTATTCGGATTCTTAAATTTTCCTATTTTATTTTAGTCCTCATACTTTTAAATATTTTATTTAGGTTTCTCAAATTTGAATACAAATTGCTTTTGGTTCATGTGATTAAAATTTTATATTGCGTTTCTTTGTTTTTTTTCTTTTTTAATAATTGGAGTTGGAGATTTACTCTCCTATACCTAGGAGCATCCGTACCCATCCCAAGGCCCAGACCCGAGAGATGTCAAGGATTTTTGGTATTATGCTCACCAGAAGATCCGAACTTGAGACCTCTAAGCCAGTATGACTTAGAGATTTCAAGCCCCTTGCCAACTGGACCTCCGTTGGGGGCAAAATTTTATATTTTGTTCTTGTCAATACAATTTTGGAATCCGTTTAATAGAAATTTTACCTTTCATCACATCAACTTGTGTTTTAAGTCAAATTAATTGAGTTTGGTATATGATTTGAAGATAGAGAGCCTATGATTTACATTTATTGCATTCAATGGCAAAGATCACCTAGATTTTTATGCAAGTTCAAAACTAAAAGAGAATATTTTAAAGTTTAAGGTGCAGAAACAAAATAGGTGTTAAAGTATTCCCATTTTGGTGCCTAAGACTTTAACACCTATTTTGTCTCATTTTGGTGCCTAGACTTTAACACCTATTTTGTTCTGCGCCTTAAACTTTAAAATCTCATTTTGGTACCTAGACTTTTTAAAAAAATATATGTTTTAGTGATAGTTACTGAATTTCGTTGGAACTTCATGTGATGCAGAGATGCCTCAAGAAACTTTTGATAAATATACACGTGAATACCAAGGAAATGTTGCTTCGAGCCAGGCAATTAAGCGCAATGCATCATTCTGGTCTTCAATCAAGCACTTCATTGGGTATAATTCAGTGGAGCCTTTATATTCAAATCTTTTATTTTAAAATTAAGCATGTTTTATTCTTGATACGTTTGATGTGTTCTCTCTTTGATTCTGCAAAAGTTTCTAACAATTGATCAAAATATCAGTAGTATAATGTTGAGTCATTAAATGTGGGAATTGAACTTTGACTTGAGAATATTATGCCATTTTATTTCTTTTGATGACCCATATCACAATATGAAAGTAACTTGCTGTCTGCTAGTGCTAATGTGGGAGTCCTGATAGGAACAGTTTGGGAATAGTATTAGTATATGAGTTAGGGGTGTTATAGTAATTAGTTAGGGAAGTGTTGGTTATAAATAGAGGAATTAGGGAGATGAAAGGGTATCTTTGGGGAAATAGTTTAAGGTGAAGAAGTTAGTATGGTTCTTGGGAGAGAGAGAGCCCTCTCGAAAGGCTATTGATAATTGATATTGTAACGTCTTGTAATATTGCAATATAGTTACTTACTTTCATTTGGTGTATTGGGATCCTAACAGATAATTCTATTATCAGATTTGGATTGCTCAAGTCTGAACTCTTTTGAGCTCAAGGATATGGCTTGAATGGGTTGGGTGTTCCTCTGTTTAGGAGTACAATGTCGTTCTTCCGTGGAAGTGTAGACCTCGTTTGCAAATTAATTTAACTCAAGATATGAAGCATGCTGCTGTTCAAATCAAGACGGCAGAAAATCATGCTAACCCTAACTGCAGTCTGCTAATAATCCTAGAGTCTGTTACAAGAAGATAAAATGGATACAAGTGAATATTGGAGTTCTTTGGAATTAGTACTTCCTTTTGAATACTTTCCGAATGATTTAAAAAAAAAAAAAATATAGTAAAAAAATATTGGACCTTTTATTCGAATTTGATTTGGTTCTTTGCCCTTCTTAATGCCATTTACTTTTTCTTTTTTTATAATTTATAAATTTTTGTTTTTAACAAGAAACAAACCTTTCATTGATATATGAAAATGAAGAAAATGTTCGAGGATACAAACTCAAGGAGCGTAAAAAGACTAGAAAACCCAAATAAGGAACAGAACCCCAAATATTACAAGGGAATAAGACACCAAAGAACAAAGCTCTCGAAAATTAAACAAACTATACATATTTCTTGCGGAAAAATATAAGTAATGTTGTTGACGGAAGAGATCACATCATCCTACTAGGAAGGCAACAGAGTATAAGCAAAACCCTCCAACCTAGAAGAAACAGCCCTTTGAAGGACTGCCAAAGACGATGCCAGCCAAACCAATCAAAACAGAATCATAAAATCCACACAATGGAAATAACTCTGGCTCCTGCAATTAAAAGTACTCCTGCTAAAGGATATAAACCTTTTGAGACAGGTTTGTGAAGTGAAGTCCGTTGAACGTAATTTCCAGCATTTGGATCATTGCCATTAGCCAAAACTCTTTTTCAAAAACACAAACCCCTTCTTGCAACAGTAGAACACATAAACCCTCTAGCATCATCAGTACCGATTATTGCTCCATGCCATTTACTTAGTCAACAAATGTAATTCTATTTTAGATGGTCCGAATATTTTAAGTTAATACCCAATCAAACGCATGCCAAAAGGTCTCTGCTAAGGTTTGGAGTGTTTCCACATTAATAGTACATTTGGTTCAGAAGACCTCGCCTATCTCAGCTTAAATTGGTTGGGGGTAGTTCCCTTTCTTCGCCAAAACTTAGCTTAATGTTCATCAATGTTCTCTAGCTAAACACCTTCGTTTAAGTAACTACCTTGCATATGTTGTTGGCTGACTGTCATATTTTTATGCCTTTATTGGGATCCACTCAATGATTGGAGATGAGATTAGTCGTTTCTCGTGACTTGTGAAACAATTAGTTGAGGAGTTAGTTGCTATATTTGCCAAAAGTTGAGTTATAATTGGTAGGTGCAACTTAGGGCGTGAAAAATGTGTTTTTAAGTGAAACGCTTTTCTTGAAAGCATGTTCAGAAGAAAACTAATTAAATGTTTAATTTAAAAGTACCACAAGTGTTTTTCTAAATTTATTTTTAGAAATTTCCGAACTATTTTTTATCGTTGAAAAAATTTAATGTTATTTTTAATTAGGTAAAAGCATATATATATATATATATATTAGTATAAAAGGCAGGCCAAACTCGTAATATTTTAAATGTTTTCTCGTTAAATGCCTTTTGTTTATATTACCGTGCATTTTTACATATTTAAAATTTTGGACTTTTGAATTTATCTTAAAGCCCTGATGAATTGCTCCTCCTTTTTCCAGTAAAGGACAGCCTCGAGAAGGATTTGCTTCAATTGGCATGGAAATACCAAAACCATTCTGTTGGGGACCTTTGAAGCTGCATTCTTCTTACACAGACTCGCTGATAATGGTTTTAATAGTAACTTCACTTTTCTCCTTGCTCTGGAGAAATTACTTATGGACATTTTTACGAGGAAGACACCGTTCCCCTCCTACAAACAGAACTTAAATAGATCAACTTTATTCATATGATTGAAGGGTTACCTGAGGTTGAATTTTTTATAATAGCTTGTAGTCGGCAAGTACCACGGCGGGGGGAGCCATTTTATTGTATCAGCCACCTGCCTGATTCTGAGATGCGTGTGGTCTCGTGAAATATTTCAGCATTATAGTCTATATGGCTTTTCAGACATGGAAAGAGAATGAAACTATTAATACAAGAAGACTAATTTATGAGTTGCCATTATGTTAAAAAAGAGGGCACGTGTAAGGAAAGCCAGAGCTGAGCACTCAATTAAAGGAGTCCAAAAGATAATTTTTTTCCGTGATCTGTGTATTATTTAGCTGCGTCAAATTTTGCAAGTAACACTATGATTTATATACATAAATAATTTGAAATAAGTTTTTTTTTTTAGGAAATAATTTGAAATAAGTTATAAAAAAGGCACAATTCTTTATTATTATTTATTTTGTGTATCTTTTTAAGTTAAAAAAAGAAAGGGAAATTTAAGTAAGTGGCTATTAGCTACCAATTTAAGAAAATGTCTATTTGTTTATAATTTTGCAAAAATGACTAAAGGATATATTTGAAATTTTACATTTTTTAGTTTTTTCCCCATAATGTCCCCTATGCTTTTTAGAATTTACAAGTATTTTAACAATTCAACAAACTTCGTTCAATTCAAATTTTGTTCCCTACCTTCAAACGATTTTATCCTAATTATTGTAATTCTTTTATTAGGAAATTCAGCTAATTTAAACGATTACTAGTGTTCCACGGTTCCCATCTCACCATTTGATTATCTTCATAAGATTTTGTATCATACTTATATTCGGTCCTCATCTCACCATTTGATTATCTTCATCAGATTTTGTGTCATTCTTATTTTAGAAGAATTATCAAAATTATAACGTCAGTAAATGTATATACTAGTTGATGAAAACTAAAATTAGAATACAAATCACATATATATCACCATGCAGCTCAATCATCAAAATTAAAATGTCTATATATGTATATACTAATAATTCAACAATTAACAAAAACATGAAAGTTAATAGATGTATATATCAATTCAAGAAACAACCAAAAAGTAATAATTRAATACATCTATTTACTGTTGTACAACTAAAATATGATAAATATAAAACTAGTACATGTACATTCCAATAATTAAAATGTCTATATATGTATGTACTAATAATTCAACAATTAATAAAACATGAAAATCAACGGATGTATATATCAATTCATGAACAAAATACGAAAGTCAATAGATCTATTGACTAYTGCTAGTACATGTATATCCCAATAATTACCGAACTCTTCCTCAATTATCTTGGGGACACTTTCTTTTTCCCTGAAATATAAAAGTAGAATTAGCTTAGTAAATATAATTTTTAAATATTACTATTCAACGCAACATACATTGAGTTCTTATCTTTTTGATAGATTTCTTACCACCTAAATTCCTTTTAGGGTCAAGTTTAGTCTGTTTTGTGTTACCTCTGATTAAGTCTCCCTCACCTTTCTTTTTGCTGGTCTCCTTCAACATTGGAGTCTCTCCCTGGATCTTTGATGATTTCATCTATACATATAAAGATAAAACATCTATAGGATGATTTTTTAAAAAACAAACAAGCCATATATAAACTATTGCATCTATACCTCTTCTTTACTGTCTAAGTTGATTGTGCACGTTTCTCTTTGACGCCTTGTTATTCCAGCAACCTTTTAATCGAGTTATTCCTCCTCTAACTTTAACTATCTATAGATTTTATTTAGTTTTTAATTTACTTAAATATAATATGTTTGTTAGACATAAACACATATGCTCCTGAAATTTGGTTATTAACAACACTCATGTGGTAGGTCCCACATTTATATATTTTTAAAAATACACTTGAAATTTAGGAAGACAAAAAATATCTTTTTAAATTAAGCTTTATAGGCAAAATCAGAACCAAGATTTTACCTCCCTCAAACAATCGGAGTAATGGGCAACGATGACCGGTTTTAGTCTGTGACGGGAGGGTCGAATCTGGTTTGGATGGATCAAGTGAACGTTGGATTTTGGGTGACTGCGTTCGGTGTGAAGGAACAAGGGGCAGCGGTGCGGTAACAGGAGGGCGGTGGCGCGACTGCAGGTTGGGCGAAGCGGCGGTAGGGTGGGCGATGCAGCGGCAGGATGGGCGATGCGGTGGCGATTGCGTTCGACGTGAAGGAACGAGGGGCGGACGACGTGGCGACAGGAGGGGGCGCGACGACGTGAAGTAGTGAGGGTCGGTGTTTGACGTTCTGCGTTGAGGGGACGACAGCGTTCGACGTGGATGGAGAGTGGCTGAGGGTTGGGCGACAGTGAATGTTGGATTGTTAGGCGGCGGAGGTTCTCAGGGTACTTCTCAAAACCCTTTTGTTTTCTTTTTTTTTTTTAATTTAAAAAAACCAATAAAGGTGATGTTAATTCTCTTATTTATAAATCTTTTATTTTAAAGAGATAAATTTCAAAATATACCTCAACATATCTTATCATTATTTTAAAATCTACTCTCTAATTAACCATTTTAAATTATATTTAAGATAATTATTTTAATTTCATTTATTGTTTATTTGTAAATCTTCTAGTTTAGAGGGGTAAATTTAAAAATATACCTTATTACAATCTTATCAATTTTTTTAAAATCTACCCTCAAATTCTAATTAGCAATTTTAAATTAGATTTATGATAATTTTTTTAATTTCATTTACTTTTTATTGAATACATTTGAATCTCTATTATTAAGGTTCATTGTTTTTGCTATTCGTAGAAATCTTAAATCCCTAAAATTATGCATATATACCTAATTGGTTACAAGATATATTTGTCTTAACATTTTTTCAATATTAAAAAAAATGTCATTTAGCCATTATTGCAATATCTCATAGGCCATTTTTTAAAACGTGTTATTAAATTTGGCTATTCATGCCCAAAAGAAAAGGCAATTTAACCTAAAATAATATCCAACCTAATACAAGCTGAACAAAAATTACCAATTTAGCCGAATTTCAAGCCCAATCCAGATAAAAATATGGGGCAATTGYAATCCTAGCAAAATAAAATAAAATATAATATAATATAACAAATAATAAATAATAAATATATAAAATTGCAAAATTAATATATTCTAATTTTGCAAACACAGTAAAATTTGGTATCTCAACTCGTGCACTATTAGATAAAAAAAAAAAAAAATCTATTTTACCGGTCTGAAAGCCCAACACATGGAGGCTCATGGAGCATATTTTACTCAAGATATATTAGCTATATATCTAATATGGAGTACTGGTGATTCTAGATATATTAGTTAGTATGAATTATATCAATGTATATCTTGTTTAGTCTTTGCTTAGTCTCCATTATATTAGTTCTTGAAGTTTACTTAAAATTCAATGGCATTTTTTTTTTTTTTGGGACCAGAGGGTTACAGAAAGAATTTTAAAATGATATATTTTGACATACTTCATGCTAGGTACCATCAAAATATATACCCAGCATGAAAGCTAGTTGATACACCTAGTATGTCGTACATCAAGGTGTCTCAATTATAGCTAATATACCTAGTTTGAAGTACATTAAGTGTATCATTTATATATATATATATATATATATATATATTTATATTTATTTATTTATTTATTGTTGCACGTGGCTAATTTTGATTTGATAATGAAGAATTACACGTGGTCTTAACTTGTGAGACTCAAGTTTCGTTGCCCCAGTCTTGACTGCTATGATCGAGCGACGTCTTGCACGACCGAGCCGACCAAGCTTTCTTGAAGTCATGTTCCCCTTCAGTTGTCGAACCGACTAGCTTCACTTCGACTCAACCCATCTCCGACAAACTCTACGACAACACGCCGCGATTCACAGCTACCTCAAAGAGCCATTGAGGCCTTATCGGGAATATTGTCAGGGAAGTTGCTCATAAATAAGATTCATTTGCTCCATATTCAAGTACGCGAACACTAAATTCTCTCTCGAGTTTAGTTCGGCCAGCTATTGACTTTGACATCGGAGTGTGTTCTGTTTTGCTGGTTCCCTGCTCGACATCTCTTTAGCTCGTCATCCAGGTCATCTTCCTTCCAAGTAGACGTTAGCGGAGTTTGTCAATTTCTTGATAAAACATATATATATATATATATAGTATGAAATACATTAAGGTGTATCAGTTATAACTGATATACTTAGTATGGTGAGGTGTATCGATTTTGTTGCTAACATACCTAGTATAGAGTAATAGTGTATTAATTATAGGGTATATACCTAGTATATGTAATACATCAAAGTAGATCAATTATAGCTGGTATAGAAATATATTAAAGTACATCAATTATAATTGACATACCTAGTATGCAGTACATGTAAGTATATCGGTGATAGTGTATCCTTCAATTATAGTTGGAATACCAACCATAACTTATATACCTTGATGCATATACTAGAAATGAAAGTACATACTAGGTATATTAGTCATACCTAAAGTACTTCATATTTGGTATATCATCTATAATTGATATATTTTGATATAATTCGTACTAGGTATATTAGATATAACTGATATACTTTTATGTATTTTATACCAGGTATATTAATTAATAACTCGATGTACTTTATACTAAATATATATATTGATATACATTGATGTACCCCATATTAACTATATTGGCGAGAAAAAGAATAAAACTAGAATAATAAAAAATCTTAAGAATTCAAATAATTTCTCATATTTACAAAATTCAAAAGAATGGACTTTTTTACCAATATGGAAAAGGATTTAGCTAATAACATAAGTAGTTTTATTGGCTTAATTTTTTAAAACAAAAAAAAAAAGAAAAAAGAAAAAAGAACAAAAGCAGTTTAAGAAGGAGATAGTGTGACGATGGAAGATAGTGCAACGCAGCGCTCTCGAACTGTGTACCATTCTCCTTTCACTCTTGAACTGTGGTGTGTACTGTTCTCCTTCAACTCAACCCTAACCATGGGATTAACTGCATTTTGAGCTAATTTCAGAACCCATAGCCCAGCACACACCATTTTTTAGAATCTCATGTGGGTTTTCTTCATAACTCCATAACATGCAGCCTCAATATGTAGAGAAGCTTTACCTTTTGCTTTGGCTTATGCCCTTTATTTCCGTCATTCCCCGCGTTCAATCAGATCTGAGCTCTGATAGAGCTTCCCTTCTAGCTCTTCGTACAGCTGTGGGTGGCCGAACCACTGAGCTGTGGAATGCAACTGATGAAAGCCCCTGCTCCTGGACTGGGGTAAAGTGCGAGGGAAGCCGCGTTACTGTGCTCCGTTTACCGGGGTTTTCTCTCTCGGGCCAATTACCCGCTGGAATTTTTGGAAATTTGACCAATCTTCGCACTCTGAGTCTTAGACTCAACGCATTGACCGGTCAGCTGCCTTCAGATCTCGCTGCATGTACTAGTCTTCGCAACCTCTACTTGCAGGGCAATAGATTTTCTGGTCACATTCCCGAGTTTGTTTTCCAATTTCTTGACCTTGTACGCCTTAATCTGGCTTCCAACAACTTCTCTGGCGTCCTTGCTCCGGGTTTCGACAGACTCCTGCGGTTGAAGACCCTGTTCCTTGAGAAAAATCGGCTTATTGGCTCAATACCGGATTTAAACCTCCCCAACCTCGAGCAGTTCAATGTTACCGACAACTTTCTCAATGGCTCGGTTCCCCGTCGTTTGCAGTCATTTCCCTCTACTGCTTTCAGTGGTAACCAACTTTGCGGGCGTCCCCTTCAGGCTTGCTCTACAAATGTTATAGCACCACTCACCGTGGATATTGATGTTGACGAGAACAAGAGAAATAAAAAGCTATCTGGGGGAGCCGTGGGTGGGATCGTGATGGGGTCTGTGTTGAGTTTCATTTTGTTTTGTATGATTTTGATGTTTTCTTGCCGGAAGAAGAGCAGCCAGAAGACGAGTACTGTGGACATCGCAACCCTTGAGAAGCCGGCTTGCGAAGAGAATGGTAGGAGTTCTGAAACTGGCCACTCTGCAGCGGTAGCAGCTACTACAATGGTTCAGAGAAGGAAAGGCGAAGTAATTGATAACACTGCTGGTGCAAACAAGTTGGTATTCTTCGGTAATGCAGCAAGGGTGTTTGATTTGGAGGATTTGTTGAGGGCTTCAGCAGAAGTGTTGGGTAAGGGAACCTTTGGAACAGCTTACAAAGCAGTCCTGGAGATTGGGCCTGTCGTGGCTGTAAAGAGATTGAAGGATGTGAACATTTCTGCGACAGAATTCAGGGAGAAAATTGATGCAGTGGGAGCCATGGATCATGAAAATTTGGTTCCTCTTAGAGCTTATTATTACAGCGTTGACGAGAAGCTTCTGGTCCATGATTACATGCCTATGGGAAGCTTATCTGCTCTTCTCCATGGTAAGCGATTTTTCTGCTTCCTACTTCCTTTTACCAATGARTCATCCTGTCTTCTTTTCTTGGATATAGTTTTTTTTCTTTTTTTTTTTTCCATTGCAACTCTTACTTCACTGCAATTTAAGTACCGGAAATTGGACTGAATGATTATAATTCCTCAAAGGTTCCGAGGAGCCTTTTATGCCTTTGTTTTTTCTTTTGCATCTCCATGAGTGGCATTCCGATGTTTTTGACCTTCATTGTCTTCGCCTCAAATTTTGCCTACTTCGATTGTCTACCACATATTGAGGGAAATAGTGTCATAGTTGACTGACTGATTGCACTCCTAATTTATGCCGATTAATGCATTTGTCACCATCTAAAGGTTATTTGGTCATCAAATACATGGAAAATTTCTTCTTGTCAAATGAAAGTGTTTCAATTGCAATGAATTTAAAAGCCTGCATATTTAGAAAGGTACTATGCTCTCATCTTTTTTACTTGTATGTTGCCCCTTTGTTTATTTATTTTTCTATAGGTAACAAAGGAGCTGGTAAGACTCCACTGAACTGGGATATAAGGTCTGAAATTGCATATGGGGTTGCCCGTGGCATCAAGTACTTGCATTCTCAAGGCCCAGATGTTTCCCATGGGAACATAAAGTCATCCAACGTTTTGCTCACAAAATCCTACAATGCCCGAGTCTCTGATTTTGGCCTAGCGCAATTGGTTGGCCCACCCTCCAGTCCTAACAGAGTTGCGGGCTATCGTGCACCGGAGGTGACAGATCCTCGGAAGGTATCGCAAAAGGCAGATGTATATAGCTTTGGCGTCTTGCTGCTGGAGCTTTTGACGGGAAAAGCTCCCAGTCATGCAGTTTTGAATGAGGAAGGGGTGGACCTACCAAGATGGGTGCAATCAGTGGTACAAGAGGAGTGGAGGTCGGAAGTTTTCGATGTTGAACTGCTGAGTGTTGAGGAGGAGATGGTTCAAATGTTAGAGCTCGCTCTGGACTGTGCGGCACGGTATCCAGATAGACGGCCTTCAATGTATGAAGTGACGAGTCGCATTGAGGGGTTATGCCCTTCCTCCCATTCTAATCCCCAGCAACACGACGTTGACGAGTCATTTGGTCCCTAGTTTAGTTTTTGCCGTGGTTTTACCTTTTTCTTTCCAAATGTTAGATCCCTTTGGCCAATTTTTCGTTGTAGTAGCTGATTAACTAGTCATCCTTGTAATTTGCGTGCATGTGCTWYTGTGTTGTATTGTTTTGTAGGGTGATGGCGATGTGATTGTGATAGTTAAGGTTATTGTGTAATTAGAATGTAGTACTGCATCTGCCCTTTCATTCGCTTCTCACTTATTTCGTCAACTAACTTGCGATGCTTTGATTGATATGTGTTGATTCAAAACACATCAAAGTGGTGTATAGTGTACTGTGTATGTGTATTTTTTTTATTATTGTTGTTTTTAGAATGTATCATGGAGCAGAATTCGAACTAGAACAGCCACAGCGGTTAGCAATAGCTACTATAATTTCAAATATGCCAAGATGACACAACACCAAACCAATCCACTGTTTGCTAATAAATGCATATCTTGACCGTTGTGAGTAAATTTTTTAACACTTCAAATTTATAGAATACATATTTTCTTTTTATTTCTTTTAGATACTAGTTTGTTAAGTTTATTGGTTCAAACTTTATTGGGCAAAATATATTTTTGGTTAYTGAGGTTTGAGGTATGTGTTTACTTAGTATCTAAAATTTCAAAATGAACACTTTTAGTCGTTTGAGATAAGTGTTTAATTTGGTCCTTGAAGTTTGAGAAATAGTTCTAAAGGTCCTTGATTTTTTTTTTTACGGTTAATTAACTAATATTAAAATGATGTGGCAAATTGCAATTAAATTATTTATTGTAATTGCTTATGCGGTAAATTATATTAATTAAATGATATATGTCTAATATAAATGGCGGACGACGAGAAGGAGGGAGGGAGAGATGAGGAGAGGAGAGAGAAAGTACCATCAACTAAACATATATCATTTAATTAATATAATTTGCCACATCAATAATTAGAATAAATAATTTTATTGCAATTTGCCACGTCATTTTAATATTAGTTAATTAACAATATAAAAAAATCAGGGATCATATAGAATTATTTGTCAAATTTCAGAGACCAAAATGTTTATTTTAAAACTTTAGGATCAAGTTGACACCTAGGGACCAAATAGACATCTACCTYAAACCTTAGAGACAAAAATTTTTTTTTGCCAAACTTTATTTTAGTTTTTCTAAATTTTTTAGATTATTATATTGTCGGTCGAACTTTCATAATCTTTATTTTAGGCCCGAACTCAAAAAAAAAAAATAATAATAACTTTTTGTTTTTACTGTTATTTTACTTTTAACCAAGGTTTTAAATATCAATATCAATAAAATGAGAGCCAATGTAAATAGCAAAGGACTTAGAGGGAATGAGTTCAAACTATGGTGGCCACCTACCTAGGATTTAATATCCTACGAGTTTCTTTGTCAACCAAATGTAGTAGGGTCAGACGGTTGGCCCGTGAATAATCGAGGTGCGCGCAAGCTGGCCCGGACACACGGATATAAAAAAAAAAGTTCATAGAAGTGTTGATAAAATGACGATGCCGATAGATATTTCTAAAAAGATTATAAAAATAAGAATTTTGTACTTAAATATTTAAATTAATAAATAAGCATTTCATCCTTTCTAAATGAGTTAAAAATAATTATTGTTAATTTTATGTCTATATTAGTTATATTTTGTTGATATTTTTGACGATTTTTTTGCAATAATGTGGAAATGTCAATTTAGTCTTTATATCGATATCGAACTCATTGATACATAGAAATGTCGACGAATATTTAATACATTGCTTTTAACAAATAGTTAACGCGGCTTCAAGGATATGTTTTACCAGGTTAATGTTGACATGTATTTGAACAAGAAAAAAAAGAATGAAAAATATTATTGAGCGGGTAGAAATTAGGTGATGAAATAATATTAACAACCAAAATAGTTATCCATTGAAGCTTCAAAAACTAAAAGCCTGTGATTATTTTTTTAAAGTTTAGGGTTTAAGTATATATTTTAAAAGTTTGAGAATCAAAATAGAATTAATATATTAAAATAGATTTAAATCTATTTTATCTTTTTAATAAAATATATTTTTAATTGAATTAAATTGTTTTCTAATGTCCTCTAGTAGTTTTTTTTGTTAGATACAACAACGGAATCGATTTGGGAGATGGGATTGGAGGATTGGCCATAACTCTCCATCGGTTTCCTCTTCCTTCTCATTCTCCCCTCTGTTTTCTCCTACTTTTTCATTTCCCAGATCTATTATTCTCCATCCCCATCTCTCTCTTACTTTCCTTTTGCTTTTTTAAATCTCTGTGTTTGACTTGTATTAGTATCATGAGAGTAAATAAAGTCTTTGCATAACTTTATTAATGCTATACTTGGTCATATATATAGGCCAAGAAATATGCAAACTGATTAATAGAAAGTAAACCAACTATTTAACTACTTAACAGAATATAAAGATGAGTAATAAGCTCTAATAACTTGTAGCTATGAGTAAAGAAGAGTTTCTCAAGATTCAAGTGCGTTGTTTTCTCCAAATGTTTTGGAGTTCTTTTTTGCTTTTTCTCTGTTTTCCGTCTCTAGTGTGTGTTCACTGTTTTTTTTATGTGAGATCTTTTTGGAGTTTTTGAGTATGAATGCAGAAATGTGTTCTGAAGGTGAACATTCACTTCAATGGATGTGTTTTTTTCTTTTCTTTTTTTTTTTTGCAAAAATGAGGTCAACCAACAACACCCAGTCATACAAGAGGAAGAGGAAGAGAACGGAAAAATAAAAAATAAAAAATAAAAAGCCACCTAATCTAGAAATAAATATAAAATTAATAAAAGTTGACAACTCATTTAAAATTTATCACCTCATTTTACCACACCATTCTTCCGTTAGTCAAGTAACGGTCAAATTAATTTAGGGATCATTTTGAACAATAGATATCCAGCTCAAACCTCAAGCCAAAAAGTATATTTTTCCCAATATTTTCTTGTACTCTACCATAAATACAGCAACAATGAGCTTTACAAAAGTTACCCTTTTGTTTTTACATTGCCACCAAGATCAGATTCTTTTAGATTAGTTCAATATTTGTGTAACAACCAAAAAATATATATATATAAATATATATATATTTAAATTATTATTTTTTTAGTTATTTTCTTTTATTTTCTCAAAGATAAACCTTTTTTGTTTTAGAAATTATTTTTAAAAGATAATTTGTTCTTAGAATTTAAAAAAAATAAAAAGAAAGAGTTTTATTAAATCTTTATCTTTTTATTATCCTTTTTAAATAAGGATTCATAAGGGTTTGTTATAAAAGCCCTTAAACCTTAGGTTTTATTTTCTTAAACTGTTAGACCTAGTTTTCTCTCAAGGAGGAAAAGAAAAGAAAGGAAGAAGAGTTTGATATTTTCTCTCAAAGATCGGTAAGATTTTCTTCTCATTGTTTTAGTTTTATTTTTTTTGATTTGTAGTTCTTTTATTGGGAAAAGTTTTGAGGTCTTTGTTTTTTTAGAATAAATGATTTTAAGGACTTTTGCCCTCAAAATTTTCCAGAATTTTTGGTTTGAATCTTTTTGTTTATGAGATTATTTTTTGGCTATTTTGAGACTCTTTTTGCATAAAAAGTTTATCTATTTGTATCCTGTAAATTATAGTTTGTTGTTATGATTTTTACATGAAAAATTATATGTTTTTACCAAGTTTTAAAAGTTTTATATACGGTTTTTCAGATCTGATTTTTCTATAAAAATTAGTAAATTGTTAATTGTTTTATGGAAAATTTTTGGAAGTTTTATTTTATAAAATAGAAAATTTTTCAGATTTAAAATTCCCAAATTTTCAATTGTTTAGAACGTTTTTAAGCTGGTTTTATTGAGAAACTTTTTGTAAATTTAGTTGTATTGATTTATATCGATTCTTCTAATTTTAAAATTTGTTATTGTTGAATTTAGAGGTTTTTTAACCTAGTTTTCAGATCTGGTTTTGTAGCCCCAAATCTATACTTTGCTTAAAAAAGTGTTTTGAATGAGAAAATTATGTAGATAAGATTTGGGTTAGTAATTGGTTGAATTTTAAATCCTCGGATAGGATTTAAGAATTGATTTTGGATATTGGTTGTTTGTAGGCCTCTAAGTTGACAACTACCAAGGAAGAAGTAAATTAGATTCGTATGATTTCTGAAAGAGGTAACTAATTTGTCATATCCCTTCAAAAAAGTATTGTAAGTAATTTGTCATATCCCTTCGAAAAAATATTGTAAATAATTTACCGTATCCCTCCGAAAAGTGTTGTAAGTGATTTGTCATATTTCAAAAACTAAAATGTATTTTGGATTTGATAGGAAGATTTGAAATTGATATCTTGCATATGAAATTGAAGTTGTATTATGGATTTGAAAACTAATTTGGCAATTGAAATTATGTTTATTTGCAAAGTATTTGAAGTATTCTTAAATGATTTGATAAAGTTTTGTTTAAATGTATTTAAAGGTTTGAAATTGATATTTTGTTTATTTGTGAAATATTTGAAATCATCTTTTGGAGGATTGATAAAGTTTGTTTTAAATTATTTCAATGTTTTGAATTAATTTAATATTGAAAGTAAGTATTTGTTTTGCATTTTATTTGAAAGATATTTTGATTGATTTCATAGGGCTATCCGGATATGCCATGATTTTGTTTTGAGGAACGTTTTGCTTATTTGGGGTAGTAGCCTAATTTGGAATTGATGGATTTTTGTTTTGGCTTATTTGTGGGAAGGCACTTTTGTGGTTTGACATTCCTTGGCAATGAAGATTCATGTGTGTGTTATTCACTCACATGGCCTCACACTTAAGTAATTCTGTTCTGGTCGATATTATTTCGACAACTCTGTTCTGGTCGATATTAATTCGACAACTCTGATAGAAGCTTCTGATTGATTTGGTGTTACCGACGGGTAACCACATAGGTTCCGTAGGCTACCCAAATAATGCAACTTCCCACTGGTAGTTATTCTTTGGCTTTATTATAGTGTAGGTTTTTTTTTTTTTGTTAAAGTTGGACTTGTCCTTATCTTTTGTCATAGTATCGTATTAAATAAAGAAGTCTTTCCGTTAATTTAGTGATTAGTTGTTTACGCTTCCGTATTTTGTCAGAATGACCATATTGGAAAATACGGGTTGTTACAATTTGATTTATTCAAATGTGCTAAAACGTTTTAATAAAACTTAACATAATATCCGTCTAAAATATTATCGATATATCAAACCAAATCTAAAAATATTCTCTGCTGTTTTCAACATTTTTAAATATTATATATCTTCTTCTAAGCTTCCAATACGGATTTTTGCTCTTCCTTAGCATTCTAGCATTCCGTCTAAATTACGTAAGGAATTTTGTTGCTCGTATTTGCAAACAATTTTTTGGAGAATTTTTTTTTTCCCATCAAGCTCCCTTATGATTATGCTTTCAGCTATTCATTAATTTTTCTGCCTAAAAATTTTCAAACTAAAAGAACATTTGAAAATATAAGACGAATTTTGAAACAAGGATAAAATTTTAAAACAGTAAGGTGCATCAACTTGTTTACTTTCTTAATCTTGTTTGGAGTCATTTGTCTCTAGTTCTCACAAAATAGGTCCCACCGAGCCACTACCCCAGTCTATTGTTGATGCAATATCAACAACTAAGATTTTGAATAGAGTTATTTTTATGTTTATTATATTTCACCTCTTCTTTGAAGAATGATGATTAGACAAATATAAATCATGGTCCTTTTAAAAATACCACATAGTTCATGTACTACCAATGAGCATACATCTCAAAGGGAACCAATACAAGGACCAGGATGTCAACTTGAAGGGATAAATGCAGAATCCAAAATATCATACTACAAGTTTACAACGACCACTCAATGTGTGGATTAGTTTATTGACAAGAATTTTTCTTTTTTTCTTTTCCTAATCTAGAGAAAGTAGCAAAAGATTACCACGACCTCCCAGTAGAAGGTTAGTTCATCAAGTTCTGTAGTTTCAGAGTTGAACTATGCCCCCAAAAAAGTATTTAATCTTGGCTCAAGAAAAACAATAGCTATATGTTTATTACATGCAATCGAATGTGCTAATTACAAAAATAATAATAATAATAATAATAACTAAATAAATGTAGAAGGAAAAGTGGAAAAAGAGTATGATTAAGAGCAAGGTTTTAAATGACGAATGTCGATGAAAATGTCAAGGTCTTAATTTCATTAAAATGTTAATAAAATATCGATGTTGATGAATATGTCTGTAAAAGTTAGAGAAATTAAAAAATCATAAAAAATATTAAAATTAACAAATAAACAATTTTCTATTTCTAAATAAGTTCAAAATGATTTATATTAATATTATGTATATATTAGTGACATTTTATTGATATTTTTCATATTTTGTCAATCTTTTGTACTATGATAGAAATGTCGATTTATCTCATGTCAATGTCAATGTAAACATGTCAATGGAAATGTTGACGTGTCAACGGATATTTAATATCAAGCAGTTTGAGTTTTTGCTCGGTGTTAGAAGTGAGTCTGAAGAAAGTATAAGAAAGTGCGCGTTATGTGGATAGGATTAGATTACAGACGAACTGAATTTATGTTGATATATTCTCTGCTGCCGGAGAATTGCAGTAGGAACATCCATTCGTGGATAACACATATGGGATCTTGAGTGAGTAATAGGGTAGAATGCCCAGAATTTTCATTTTAACGCAAAATGCCATTTCTCTTGCTAAATTACGTTTGCCATCTTTGCAACCTTCCCACTCTAAAAGCAAGGTTATCTCGAACGTCATAGGCTTTTGAACTGGAGCTTCCTAAGCCCTTTTGCTTCCACGACAGTTGCACTAGAATTCGCAAGCTTCTCTTCATTTATATATCAGTTGCCGTCAAGCCCATTGAATGTGAGAACATAAAGTTGAAAAATTGGAAGAACGCCAAGATGGAGGAACATCAGTATGTTTCCTCCACGATCCCACTCCACTCCTGCAACTTTTGCATGGTCCATGGTGTCTGCAACTTCATCCATCCTTCAAAAGTTGGTGTTAAAAGAAAGACGAAAATGAAACCATGCCAAACAAATACAGGGAAGTCCAAGATGGTCCAGGAAATCATTTCTTGAATGGAGAAGAGCGGACCAGGTTCATCCCAGACTTCTCTAGATCAATCCAGTTTGGCTCATCCCAAACTTTCCTGGACTGGTACAAGAAGTAAATAGTGACTTCAAAATATTCCTGCGTGCCACTGAAATATTCCCATCTAGGAATTGTTTGGTTAAATTAATAAGCCCAAAGAGTTCATTGCAAATTGTTAAGAAATTCACAAAAAGCTCATGTTCTAGTTCTATGTTATTTTTCATGGACAGAAGAAAAGAGTAAATATTTGTCAAGATGGGGGCAGCCAAACCTGAGTTTTTATTTGTCGGTATTTTAACGAATATCATTCTGCCAGGGTATTGAGCCCAATTACCACGTCCTAATCGGTATACCTTTCAGAAATGAGCTATTTCAATCATTTAGAGTAGTTCAACTTCTGCGCACAAATTATATATTGTTTTGGAGCATAACTGCAGTCATAAAAGAGACAAATACCTTCGGATACTGAAATAACACCCTACCGTCATCCTACACCAAAATGATCAGTGTGGATCTGAAGAAAATGCTGTACAGAATGAAGCTTCTCGTTGATACATAATATATAATTTAAAAACATAAATATACGGATTTTCAAAGAAAAAAAGGTACACCGGTTATGGGACCCATTTAAACAATGAAATATTGAAGTTCTCAACTCATGGTGGGGTGAGGGTGGAGAAGAGAGCAGTAAAACGTAATGAACAGGGAAAAAAAAAAAGGAAAATTGAAGGCCACATGGTTTGAAGACGTCGCCTATAATTCGAAAGAGAGCATCCCCGAACCAGATTTAGCCTCTAAGATATTTCTGTCTCTGCAGTTGCAAAGATGATCAAATCACTCCACCACTCACAAATAAAGTAGTAAAAGCACGTACAGGAAATGGAAGTTAAGAAAAACTTACATGTACATGTACAAAACAAGGAAGAACACCGAACCAATCGGCTGAAAGCATTTGGCAGTTCCACGAGGATTAACACATTCATACATCATGATTGGGAGGATCATCCTTCAAACCCTTAGAAAGCAGGTCATAATTGATGGATGCAAGCTGGGAGAGATTCTGATCACAAGGAAACATAAAGATAAACTGTAAGAGGCCCTCAAATGATTTTAGATCTTTCTCACCCAGGGTGACCAAGAGGAAAATGGCATACTTCCAAATTCATTCATAATAAATGTCATAAATTTTCTAACCATAGAAAGTGGGCGAGTCAGAGAGACATAACAAGGGCACGTTCTATTAATATTCATCGGATTATAAACCTTATTAGGTCCCTTGACTCTTTCGATGTGAGATTTTTAATATGCTCCCTCAAAGAGCCAGGTCAATCTAGGCCGGATCTTATTTTTGAACCAGATGCTCATTTGAACTTGTTGAGCTCWCATACCATATCAATATTATGGAGTTCAAATCTCAAAACTAATCGGTAATGAGAAGAGTATCTCATGTATCTCATACACCTTATTAGGTCCCTGGATCGTTTTGATATGGGATCCTTAACACGTTCACTATAGTAGATATCTTTTAATTGCTTTTGAATTTATTCATACATTTCCACCATCTTTGACTTAAAAGATTGTTTAAGTTTTAATTGAAAGACTGATTGAAGTGAAAATATACACACTACAAGAGGCTGTAAAAGCTAAAATGCATATTTATATATAATGCATCATCTTATAGTGGAAGACTTTTATTATATTCCAGCTGGACTTCCCACGAAACTGCAACAATACCATAGATCCAAAGTTGTCTTCTTTTACATTTTCTTTATAAACTAAATCATTTCATCAATGGAAAAAACCTACGAGTTACAAGAGGGATAACCGGTCAGAGACTCCATTTCTCTTTGTTTTTCTAAAATTCTCCTATTCCTTTCTAATCAAACTACTATCCACAAAAAAGTTGTACAAACATTCGTCCGAAGAATATTTTCTTTACAATTTGCAATTTTCAAAACCTCACTCATAAATTTTCTAAATTAGATTTTATAAACTAACCAAGATCAATTATGCCCATACAATTATATGCTTAAAAAGTTTTTTTTTTTTTCTTTTTGGTAGAAGAAACAATTCAATTGATGTATGAAATTACCAAAACCCAAAGATTGGAATTACAAGCACTTCTAATTAACTAGAAGGGAAGAGTAGCTATAGCGATGAAACATAGGAGACCATTTACACCAAGATACAACACCGTAAACTATAGCATCAAAAAGCCTCTCAAAAGGTTGGCGCTTGTCGTTGAAAGTTCTTCGGTTTCGTTCACCCCATATGATCCAAAGAAAAGCTCGAATAAAGGTCCACCAAAGCTGTTTCTTTTGTTTTTTAAAGGGATGTCCAGCTAAGGTGAACTCGATGAGAGGGGCAGGATCATTTGGTAAGGCTGTGGACCATCCAAAAGTGTAATAGCCAAATAGGAAATTCCAAAAAGCCGAAGCAAAGGTGCAAGAGACAAAAAGGTGTTGTGAGTTGGATTGACAAATAGAGCACCACGGTGGTGAAATAGCCAATTATGGCAACCGGCGTTGAAGCTTTTCGTTGGTGTTGATGGCACGGTGACTAAGCTCCCAAAGAAAAATTTTCACTTTTTTTGGGTATTTGTCCTGCTAGATTGCTTTGGAAAGCCGTTGAGAAGAGCCTGGGAAGGAGGACGAAAAGTCTTTAATCAGAGACCTTGTGGAGAAAAGACCGTAAGGCTCCAATTTCCAAAACAATAAGTCATCTCCCATACCTAGTTGAACATCTGTTAGCTGGAAAGAGAGAGTAGTCAATTCAGCAATTTCATCGTCCTTTAGATTTCTCCTCAGCCTCAGGTTCCAACGAGATGCTTCTGGCATCCAAAAATCCTTGATTGGTGCCTCTGTTTTCTGTGTTAGATTGAAAAGAAGGGGAAAATATTGTGCCAGCGGTTCTTCCAGCAACCAAGGAGTCCTCCAACAGGAGATGCTGCTGCCATCCCTAATTTTGTTGCCCAACAGATCAAAAATCAGCTTCTGAGTCTTGATAAAAGCCTTCCATGGACCTTTAGCAGAGGAGAGGGAGGTAGAAATAGGGTGAAGATTCCAAGTAGCTTTCCCATATTTTGCTTCAATCACCTGGTTCCAAAGGCTGGAATCTTCCTTTATATATCTCCACGCCATTTTGCTGAGAGGACTCTGTTTTTCAATCTCATATTCGTCAGACCCAGTCCCCCATCTTAGATCGGTTGTTGAGTGATACGCCGTTTAACAAGGTGGAGTCCACTATTCTCATTGCAACCTTTCCAAAGAAAGGTATTGATGATGTTGTCCATTGTGTGAGCTCCCTTGGCCGGCATGGGGAAAAGAGAGAGATAATATGTGGGAAGGTTTGATAAAGTGGCTTGGATAAGGGTATGACGACCACATTTCATGATAAAGTTACTTTTCACACCATTTTGCTTGGATAAGGATATCTCCACACTATTTTGCTAAGAGGACTCTGTTTTTCAATCTCATATTCGTCAGATCCAGTCCCCCATCTTGAATCGGTTGTTGAGTGATACGCCATTTAACAAGGTGGAGTCCACTATTCTCGTTGCAATCTTTCCAAAGAAAGGTATTGATGATGCTGTCCATTGTGTGAGCTACCTTGGCCGGCAGGGGGAAAAGAGAGAGATAATATATGGGAAGGTTTGATAAAGTGGCTTAGATAAGGGTATGACGACCACCTTTGATGATAAAGGAAATATTCACACCATTTTGCTTGGATAAGGATATCTCCACACCATTTTGCTAAGAGGACTCTGTTTTTCAATCTCATATTCGTCAAACCCAATCCCCCATCTTGGATCGGTTGCTGAGTGCTACGCCGTTTAACAAGGTGGAGTCCACTATTCTTGTTGCAACCTTTCCAAAGAAAGGTGTTGATGATGCTGTATAATGTGTGAGCTACCTTGGCCGACATGGGGAAAAGAGAGAGATAATACGTGGGAAGGTTTGACAAAGTGGCTTGGATAAGGCTATGACAACCACCTTTGGTGATAAAGGAACTCTTCCATGATTTCAATTGCTTTCTAACTCTCTCAACCAGGGGATCCCAAAAGGAGAGGGTCCTATTCTTCCCGTGTAAGGGAAGACCAAGGTAGATTGATGGCCATGACCCACACATGAGAATTTTGCAGCAGTTGAATTTAGTACATTGTCCTCTAGATTAAACCCTAACATTTCCGATTTCTGGTGGTCTATGTTGATTCCGGAAGCTTCCTCAAAAAACCGGATAATGTTGAACATGTTGGTGAGCCAGTGAGGGAGAGATCATCAAAAGGAGAGAATAGGATCGTTTCATCTGCAAATTGAAGGTGATGGACAGCCAAAGAGGAGTGTCCCATGTCAAAGCCTTTGATAAGGTTGTGTTTTGTAGCCTGAGACATAATTCGACTAAAGACATCCATAACCATGATAAAGAGGAAGGTGGGAGGGGGTCACCTTGGTGGAGGCCCCTAGAGGCAATAATCTTTACCCGAGGACGACCATTGATGATGACGGAGTAGTTTATTGAGGAGATGCATCCCCTAATCCATTTCCTCCAATTGGTACCAAACCCTTTTGCTGCAAGGACCTCGTCAAGAAAAAGACGATCAACTTTGTCGAAGGCCTTTTCAATGTCAAGTTTAATAACCACTCCTTTTCTATTCTTTCTGTCCCATTCTTCAATAAGCTCATTAGCTATCAGTGATGCATCGAAGATTTGTCTCCCTGCTAAAAATGCTGATTGTTCGGAGGTAATAGTGTGGGGCAGCATGCGTTTTAGCCTTTGGGATAGAACTCTGGCAATTATCTTATATAGGCAAGAAGTGAGACTAATAGGCCTATAATCCCCAACCCTTCGGACATCAATCTTCTTTGAGATGAGGCAAATATAAGTTTCATTGACGCCGGCATTAATGATTCCATTCTTAAAAAAAATCTTGGAACACCCTCATGACGTCGGGCTTAAGAGTGTTCCAAAATTTTTTGTAGAATTTTGCAGTGTATCCATCTAGGCCCGGTGACTTATTTGTCCCCAAATCTCTTAGGGCTCTCCAAATTTCTCCCTCGGAAAAAGGCAACTCTAATTCAAGGCTTTGTTGTTGAGAGATCGGTCTCTAATCCACAGGGAAAGGGAGAAAGGGAACTCTAATTCAAGGCTTTGTTGTTTCAATGTCCTTCTGCAATGTCCCATTGGAGTTCTCATCTTCTTTTGTTCAATTTGTCATAGGTTTTCGAYGTTGAAGTCTCGAAGATTCTATCTCAACAACTGTTTGGGCCGGCTTTTTCTTCGAAGTCAAGTCTACTATGGGTTAATGGTACGCTAAAGTCCTTGTTAATTGATAAGAAAAGAAAATAATTCTTACTTGATTACTTCAAATGATTGATACAAGGCTATATAAATAGCAGTCACAAAGAAGAAACTAAAAAGAAATTTTTGCCTATTAGGATAAGGAAACACTTACCTATTAGAACAAGAAAACCCTAACCTAAATAAAATAGGAAACCTATAAAATAAAATAAAATATAATTTAACACTCTCCCTCAAACTGGTGAATGAATATTTTCCATTCCCAACTTGTTAACCAAATGTTCAAAGTTGTTGTTGTTCAATCCTTTTGTAAGAATATCTGTTATTTGATTGTTTGTTGGTACAAATGGAGTACATATGAGGCCGCTATCTAACTTCTCTTTTATGAAGTGTCTATCAACTTCAACATGCTTGGTTCWAWCATGTTGATTGGATTATGTGCAATACTGATGGCAGACTTGTTATCACAATAAAGTTTCATAGGCCCTTCCCATGGAATCTTCAAATCTTCTAAAATAATCTTTATCCACAGTAATTCGCAGATGTCCAATACCATTGCTCTAAATTCCACTTATGAACTTGATCTTACAACTACATTTTGTTTTTTACTTCTCCATGTCACTAGGTTCCCACCTAAGAAAGTACAATAGCAATAAGTGGATTTTCTATCATCTATCGATCCTGCATAATCTGCATCTGTATAAACTTCTAGATTGAGTTTCTCGCCTTTCTTAAACAAAAATCCTCTCCGAATGGAGTTCT